CTTCTGGACGGCCACTCACAGCGGCTGCTTGGCTGCTCATGCTCATACGGTAGCCCATGGCAACCCACTGCAGCAGTGGCTGCAGCTTACACCGTAGCCACGACTCATGCAGCCCAGCTCCAGGTTGAGCTATTGTTCAGCATCTTAGCTGTAGAGGGCAGTATCACTAGTCCTCATATGTGGGATCCGAACTGGGGCCCTCTGGCGTCCCAAGCCAGCTCTTAATCAACGTGCCACTCGGCCGGTCTTAGATCATTTTTTGAGTATTTTGTAGTTTTGGCTTGTGAGCATCTTTTCAGCAGCCATTGTACTACTAGCCAAGGAGCTTCCTGCACCAGAGATAGTATAGGGGCTTCTTGCAGCACAGATATTACACATTTGGACCCCAAACTCTATGTGGCCATTTTCATTTCTTACAGGAGATTTTCCTTTTGGCCTCAAAAAATCTGAGGGGGGACCAAACTTCCTTATCACTTTCCTGGAGTAGCAGGTGGAGTTTTTTTAATCCTCTTTCACCAAGAAGAGTAGCATTTTGTGAGCCCTGGTTTTGTGCAGGGGTCTCAGTACTAATGCTCTGTGTATGGGAGCTCGGAGCTTTGTCTCTTATTCCTATGTGCAGTAAATAATACCCATTAGCTACCCATCATTATGAGCCTTCTACCATTATCCCCAGACCCACCCCCCTGGGGGTTGCCACAGTCTCAGCTCATGCCTCATGGCTCTGGTTTTTATTTCTCTTTTAATTTCTGTCACCTGGTTATTTCCCAGTCTTTCTTTAGAGCTCAGCTATGTATTGACATTTAAAAAATTACATTCTATTCAGATTTCTAGGTGACTTTTAACTAGAGAGTTTTAATGATAATTAAGTTCACTGTGTTTCCAGAACTGAAATATATCCACAATGAATCTTAAATGAAAAAAAACTCTAAATCATGTGGTCAGACCAACTGGATAATTTTATATTACGGGTCACAAGTAACAAATCTTCAGCAAATGGATTTCTATGTTCTATAACAAATTGTTATGGCATAAAGAAAATGGCATAAAGTTCTTTCTTGGGGCTGGCCAGGTGGCTCAGTTGGTTAGAGCGTGAGCTCGGAGCAACAGGGCTGCCAGTTTGATTCCCACATGGGCCAGTGAGCTGCGCCCAAGCTGAGCTGCCGCTGAGTTGCCAACAGGCGGCCAGATGGCTCAGCTGGTGAGAGCATGTGCTCTTAACAACAAGGTTGCTGGTTTGAATGGATGGCTCAGTTGGTTAGAGCGTGTGGTCTTAACAACAAGGTCACCGGTTCAACTCCCGCATGGGATGGTGCGGCATGAGATTGGTGGGCTGCATCTTCCCACAACTAGATTGAAAGCGGCGACTGGACTTGGAGCTGAGCTTGTGCTCTCCACAGCTAAGATTGAAGGACAACAACTTGACTTGGAGCTGATGGGTCCTGCAAAAAAACCCACAATGTTCCCCTTCCCAATCCCCCCCCACCCTCCAAAATAAATAAAGTTCTTTCTCATATAATTAGACTAAAGTAAGACAAGGATACGAAACAGGATACTTACCAGGCTGGGTTTGATGCCTACACTTTCGGCTGCTTCAAATGCCAACAAGAGATTCCTTTTCTAAGTTAAAAAGACAAAGAGACTGGAATTATCAACTAAAAATATATACCTTTTGCTAGGAAAGAACTGACACTCCCATATAACCTATAAAACATAATTTTAAGTCAAATATGCAAACAATGGTCTCAGTTTAAGGAAAAAAAGATTAACAGTTACAACTGCCACTAAAAATGAAATTATTGATTGATTCCTTACTATCAATTTTTTGTTAGTTGGTTATTTTTACTTCGCCAAGATTTACGACACACACACTTCTGGTGTGCATCAAGTTGTTTAATCATAGTGCTACATCAAAAAATTATCAAATATGTGCACACAGTTAAAAATAATCAAATGAAAAAACTGTCCCTTCCCCCAATTCTGGCTCCTTGGGAGAACCAATTTTAATATCTGTCTTTAGTTCTTTTGATGATTACATCCATATCTCTGTAATATGCTCATGTTACTGTTTCTTGATTTCTAAAACATTACCTACTACTTTCCTCCCAGAATAAATGAGGACTCAAGTATCATGCACTTCTCTCTCTTCTTCCTTATAGCTATATGGCTAATTTTAGTTCTTTTATTGGCTATATTTGTGGCTTTCAGTAATATACTTATATCTCCACTTCTTGTTCCATCACTCATGAACAGCACTTCCTGACTCCACTTTGTATGATAAGGAAGAAGTTCCCCTCATCTTTCCCCTAACTTGTCAACTTTTACTCTTAAATTATTATAACTTATAATTTTAGCTTCCTTTTCTATGTAAGTCTTCTGTCCTCTCTTAAGAGGATTCTGAAAACTGAAAACAATAAACAGCATTATACAGTAGTGTACCACGATTACACTTCCTTCTCTATAGTTCCAGTCATGATGCTGTGCCACTCAAAACATTTTTTCAAAAGAATTTTCCTCTTTGTGGCTCAACCACATCACCATTCTATGAAATCCTTCAGCCTTAGAGTCCTTCAGAACCTCACGTAAATTTTTGGGTAATACCTCTATTCTACTACTTTCATAGGTTTCCTTAAGAAAGGATGTTGGAGAGATACATATTCTGAAAGCATTCATATACAAAAATTTCTCTCCTGTACCATCACACTTAGTTAATAATTTGGCTGGATATAGAAACCCAGGTTGAAAATATTTTTCCCTAGAATTTAAGGTACGGCTCCACAATCATCTACCCCTAATTTGTTGCTTCTTTCTGAGAGTCTTTCTGGTTGTTCTCTGATGTTTCTTTGTCTGGATGAATTTAAGAAACATTTGGTCATATCTCTTCCCCTCCATAATTCATTTGAAAGTCATCAGGATTATATTAAAATTTAATTAAGTTGGTAAATTAATTATAATTGAGAGACAATTTTAATATGTGCTTTTGTACATATTCATGTTTTACGTTCCTTAGTAGAATTTTGTAATTTTATGCATTTAGAGTTTATAAATTATTTTATAAATGTTCCCATTTCCCCATGGCTTCCACCCTCTGTCCTTGTCTGCTCATCTGGTGCCTGAATATTAAAGGGTTTGCCCTGACACTGAAACAAATCCTCTGCTCAAGGTACCAGGTCACGGAAAAACACTAAGACATGGCTATGTACGTTTCATTCTAGACTGTGGTCTAGGCCTTGGGAAGCTGTTGATCTGTGGTCATCTTGCCTAAGCCGCCAACCCTCTTCCTTCAAATTAAGGGAAATTAATGGGGATGGACTGAAACCTTACACATGTTTCCACAACATTACTTTCTTTTCTATTACGAGGGGAACTGGCTTCCTTAAGTGACTCCTGGCTTCCTTTTACTTCACCCAAACTATTGACAGCAATCTTCTATTTGGTGCTAATGAGGCCTTTGTTCTTATTTTTAAAGTCCTTTTGGTTAGTTTTGTGGAGGAGGGGTTTTATAAGCCAGTTTTTAGGCTACCATTATTCCAGAAGTCAAGATAAAAACATTTTTATGGCTTGATATGTAATGCCAAATTGCTTTCTAAAATGTTACACGAATTTTCAATTCCAGCAATAATATGAGTGTCCATTTTCTCGTACCCTTACCTGCATAGAATATTATGATTTTCAAAACTCTCTGCCAAATGTGACAGGCTAAAAATAATATTTTATTGTTTTAATTTGTATTCTTTGATTACTAGTAAGGTCTAAGGAAAAGGCATTTCTAAACCTAAGGTTATACAGCACCTCTATAAGACCCTCTAGCCTGATTCTAATGACACTGCTGGTGTTATCTAAGCAGATACTCAACAAAGACGGAATCGTTCACACTGAAAAATTATCTCAAAGTACTCCAAAACAGTGTACAGTATGACATAGAATGTTACATAGAGAGAGGTGGTTTTGGTTCACAAAAGCTAGTTTTATTCATTTCGGCAGCAGCAGCACAACAGTGACCAGCATCATCATCCTAATTCTTTTTCATTAGAACACTGTCAGTCACTGTGAGAAGACACTACTCATGGGGAGCAAAAGAGTGTGCTCAGGGCAGAAGGGCCTCACTTCCTTGCGCCTGCAGCTACAGCTGTGCCCACAGAGGCCAGGACAGGGTGAGAAGGATGCTCTGCTTCAGTCTGTGCCCTGGCTGGGGGACAACCGCAGGCTGGGAACCTTCTAGTTCCGGGAAAGTGAAAGTCCCCAACCTGTGGAAGAACACTACCACTGGCAGCGAGCGCTAGTAGGGAATTCACCTGAAACTGACAAGAGAGAGAATCCCAAGTCCAGAATTTCTCACGTTAATATTTCATTTCAGACACTGACATAAACACACTTCAATCTATTCACCTGAATCTGTTTAGCATAAGTGCAAGTGTCATAGGATAGCAGATGAATATGCTTTTTATTGAAAAAAATGCCCAAACCTTCATTGACTGTAACTCACATCCCATGTTTGTGTATCATTTAATGTCTTAGAGGAAGACATCTTGTTAGTTTTATAAGAAATTCCCTATTTAATACAGATGTCAAACTTGCTTGGTTTAATTATGTCCATCTAGATAGAAACAGCTCATGATTTCTGAACTTTCTGGACCATCAATGGCAATATCATACCAGTTTTAGATTCTGATTTGTAGTAGGATTTTACAAACATAGGCCTATCTTGGTGCCCTTTTTGATGTATGTGTACATCCAACTCCTCCCCAAACCACCCAACACTGAAAGCTCACCAGCACAAGGCTCTAGGCTAGGGCCGGATTTCACTCATCTTAATGATGTACGTTTCATTCAAATTACCCTGTTCCCTTTGAAACGCAACTTCAAAGATGCCTCTTTCAGGAAAACCCTCCCTGCTTTTACTCCTCTCTCTCCTTGAGTCAGATCACCCCCATGTTGACTCTTACACACGTGCTCAGTGTTATATTGTGTTGATTGGATTTGCCTGTTGACATGTCATTTGGAAAACCCTTATCAGTAACTAATACATATGAGTTTCTCTCACCAAACTGACCAGAAGTTCCTCCAAGCATGCTTGTCACACACTGGGTAGTGGTGAAAACTGTCACTTCACCCAGAGTGTACCTACATAGGGGCATTCGGAAAGCAGGAAGCCAGATGTTCCCTTTGGGGAGTGGTGGGCAGGTGGTAACTAGCCGAGTCCTAGGCTCTAGGACACAGATCTGCCTCTAGCTGATGAGGAAGGTGTGAATCCACACAGACCTTAAAATGAAAGTTCCAGCTTCTGGAGCTGACTCCTTAATCTCCTCACAGGCCTGCAGTCTTTCACAATTTGATTATGTGCTCCCTGATGACAGTATTACAGATTACAAAGAATTTCAACCCTACATGTAGAAAATATGGGCTCTGTACCATAAAGACAATGGAAAGTGAGTAAAATGTGACGTCTGTTTGTTTTAGTGAACATTTCCATTGTGCAGCAGGTACCGGGACCTGGCTGTGCAGTGTGCGGGAATCACCAGGCATCCAGAGCCAGACAATGCAGGTTCGGTCACCAGGAAGCGTGCTCATGAATTCAAAGTGTGAAAGCAAACACTTTTAGGCTCATTAATTTACAACAGATCCTTACTGAGTCGAGGACAAAGAGCCGAGGTGTCTTTGCACGACTGTAGACAAACATTTCACACTTTCAGGAAGATACCTGTTTTAGACAGTGTGTGTATAAGTGCTTAGATTTACACTTACTAGAGTTTTAGTAAGGTCTTCTGATTATTTTGAATTGTTTTATGCCCACTATTTACTCAATTATCTTCGCAAAGTCACATGGAAAAGGCAGAGACAGAAAAATGAAGAGGGTGGGAAGGAAATGGAGATGCTCAGGTCACTGCTGGACAAGAGCTTTGCCTGTGAGGGCATGATGCACAGGCTGTGTGGACCCCATGCCACCCCGGCCCCCGCTTGTCTCCTTTTCTTTGCTGCTCCTTCCTGGCTCCCTTTGTTGGGTTATCCTTTTCTACTTAAACAAGCACTGGATCCTCAAGGCTTGTTCCATGGTCTTTATTCCTCTGTCATATTGCTATTAATAATAAATATTACTTGGTCTTTGTCTACTGTTCCTGACACAGAGCCCCTAAAACCCTTGTAATTTCCTATATTAGAGTCACAGGGGCACCATTTGTTATATTTGTTTTTTTATAAATGAATATGAATTTTAAAAAATTTCAATTACAGTTGACATTCAATATTATCTTAGTTTCAGGTGTACAGCATAGTGGTTAGACATTTATATAATTTAAGAAGTGATCCTGGGGCCGGTTGAGTGGCGTGTTGGTTAAAAGCTGGCTTGGGATGCCAGTTCTGAGCAGCAGGGCCCCAGGTTGGATCCCACATATGAGGGCCAGTGACACTGCCCTCTACAGCTAAGATGGCGAGCAACAGCTCGACCTGGAGCTGAGCTGCCGTGAGTCACCGGCGACAGCGTAGGCTGCAGCCCCTGCTGCAGTGGGCTGCCATAAGCTACCGTGAGTAGCCGGCAGCCAGTGTGAGCTGCCAAGAGCCGCCATAAGCGGCCGTCCAGAGGCCGGCGACCCATCTGTCTCACCTGGAAGAGTGCAATGATA